GTTCAATATTCTAAAAATCAAAGAATCGAGAAACTGAAGAATCAAAAAACTGAAAAAAATAAATCGAGAAATGGAAAATTTGAAACATCGGGGAATTAAAGAATTAAAAAATTGAAAAAAAATCAATTAATCGAAAAATCGAATTTTAGAAAAGTCAAAAAATCGAAAAACTGAAATATCGGAAAATTAACAATTCGAAAAATAAAAAATCCTAAAACAAAAATAACGAGAAATTGAAAATCGAGAAATAGAAAAATTGAACAATGGAGAAATTGGAAAGTCGAAAAATCAAAAAATTTAAAAATCGAAAAATCAAAAGGCAGGACAATCGAATGATAGAAGAATTGAAAAACTCAAGAATCGAAAAATCGAAACATCGAAAAGTCGAGGAATCGAAAAATGGGAAAATCAAAAAGTCGAATTATCGAGAAGTCAAAAAGTCGAAAAAAAGACTAATCGAGAAATCAAAGAATCACAAATTTAGAAACGCCGAAAATTGAAAAATTGAAAATCGCAAAATTAAAATATTGAAAAATTGAAAATCGAGAAATTGAAAAGTCGAAAAATCGAAAAATCTAAAGCCAGAAAATTCCAAAAATTGAAGAATTGAGGAATTGAAAAATCGAGAAATCGAAACATCGTAAAGTCTGGAAATAGAGAAACAGGAAAATCGAATAGTTGAAAAGTCGAATATTCGAGAAATCGAAAATTCGAAAAATCGGTTACCCAAAAAATTGCAAAATTGAAGAATTGAAAAATTGGTAATCGAAAAATAGAGAAATCGAAAAACCGAAATATCGGAAAATTGAGAAATCGAAAATAAAAAACTTCCCAAACAAAAATAACGATAAATTCAAAATCGAGCAATTGAAACATTGAAAAATCGAGAAATTGGAAAGTCGAAAAATAAAAAAATTTAAAAATGGAAAAATCAAAAGGCAGAAAAATCGAAAGATTGAATAATTGAAAAATTGAAGAATCTAGAAATCGAAACATCGAAAAGTCGCGGAATTGAAAAATGGGAATATCGAAAAGCCGAAAAGTCGAATTATCGAGAAATGAAAAAGTGGAAAAATAGATTAATCTAGAAATTAAAAAATCGCAAATTTAGAAACGCCAAGAATTGAAAAATCTAAAAATCAAAAGGCAGCAAAATCGAAAAACTGAAAAATCCCAAAAATGAAATATCGGAAAACTGAAAAATCGAGAAATGGAAAATTTGAAAAACCGGGGAATTAAAAAATTGAATAATTGAAGAAAAATCAATTATACGAAAAACCGAAAACTCGAAAAACTGAGAATCGTAAAACCGAAATATCGCAAAATTAAGAATACGAAATATAAAAACATCCCAAGACAAAAATAATGGGAAATTGAAAATCGAGAAATTGATAAATTGAAAAATGGAGAAATTGGAAAGTCGAAAAATCAAAAGGCAGGAAAATCGAATGATTGAAGAATTGAAAAACTCAAGAATCGAGAAATCGAAAAATCGGAAAATCAAAAAGTCGAATTAAAAAATAGAGAAACAGGAAAATCGAATAGTTGAAAAGTCAAATATTCGAGAAATCGAAAATTCGAAAAATCGGTTACCCAAAAAATTGCAAAATTGAAGAATTGAAAAATTGGCAATCGAAAAATAGTAAAATCGAAAAACCGAAATATCGGAAAATTGAGAAATCGAAAATAAAAAAATTCCAAAACAACAATAACGAGTAATTCAAAATCGAGCAATTGAAAAACTGAAAAATCGAGAAATTGGAAAGTCGAAAAATAAAAAAAATTAAAATTTAAAAAAATCTAAAAATCAAAAGGCAGAAAAATCGAAAGTCTGAGTAATCGAGAAATCGAAACATCGAAAAGTGGAAAACTCGAATAATCGAAAAATCAAAAAGTCGAAAAATAGATTAATCGAGAAATCAAAAAATCGCAAATTTAGAAACAACAAAAATTAAAAAATTGAAAATCGGGAAATTGAAAAGTCAAAAAATCGAAAATCGAAAAATTAAAAGCCAGAATAATCGAAAAATTGAAAAATTGAAGAATCGACAAATTGATAACAGAAAAACCGAACATTGAAATATTGGAAAATTGGGAAATCGAAAAATAAAAATCCCAAAACAAAAATAACGAGAAATTAAAGACTGCGAAATTGAAAAACTGAAAAATCTAGAAATTGGAAAGTTAAAAAGTCAAAAATTTAAAACATCGAAAAATCAAAAGGCAGAAAAATCGAAAGATTGAAAAATTGAAAAACTGACATATTAAAAAGTCGAAAAATAGATTAATCCAGAAATGAAAAAATCGTAAATTTGGAAACCCCAAAAGTTGGAAAATCGAAAATTTTGGAAATTAAACAATTTATAAATCTAAAAATTTTAAATGGTAAAATTGCAATATCCAAAGAAAAATGATAGAAAATGAAATTTTAAAAAATCGGGAAATTAAAGAATCGAAAAATTGAAAAATCCCAGTACTAAAATATCGAAAATTTGAAAATCGAGAAACTCAAAAATTGGAAAATTGAGAAAATGAAAAGTCGAAAAACCGAAAATTGAAAAGGTCTGAAAATCAAAAAGCCAAAAAACTCTAAAGATTTTTCGAGAAATCGGAACATCGAAAAGTCGAGAAATCGAGGAACTGAAGAATTGAAAAATCCAAACACTCAAATATGGGAAAACTGTGAAATTGAATACTTGAAAAAATGACATATTGAGAAATCGAAAAACACCGAAAAGTCGAGAAATTGAGAAATGGGAAAATCGAAAAATCGAAAAGTCAAATAATAAAGAATCAAATAATAAAGAAATTGATAAGTCGAAACATAGGTAAATCGAAAAATCAAAATGTCGAAAATTTAGATCGTCAAAAACTGAAAAATCGAGTAATTGGAAAATCTAGAAATCGAAAAATTGGAGAATGGAAAACCTCAACAATCGAAAAATTGAAAAACCGTAAAATAAAAATATCGGAGAATTGAAAATCAAAACATCGAGAAATCGAAAATTTAAAAAATAAAGAAATTGCGAATCGACAAACTGAAAAATTGAATAATTCAAAAATCGAAAAATTAAATGTCGTAAAACTGAAAGAGAAGTGAAAAATCCTAAAACTAAAATACTGAAAAATTGAAAGTCGAGAAACTCAAAAATTAAAAAATCGAGAAATTGAAAAGTCGAAAAACCGAAAATTCAAAAATCGAAAAATCGAGAATCAGGAAATTGGAAAAACTGAAGAATTGAAAAAATAAAAAATCGAGAAATCGAAAGTTTGAAGTCGGGAAATGGAGAAATGGGAAAATCGGAAAACCGAAAAATAAAAAAATAGAAGGCCAAAAATTGAAAAAACGAATAACAGTAAAATCAAAAAAATCGAAAAGTTGAAGAATCAAAAAACTGAAGAATCAAAAAATCGAAAAATCGTGTAACCCAAATATCAGAAAATTAAGAAATCGAAAAATAACATCGAAAAATCGAAAATTTTAAAGTAGAGAACCTGAAGAATCGAAAAATTGGAAAATCTCAAAACTAAAATACCGAAAAATTGAAAATCAAAAAATAGAAAAATCGAGAAATTGAAAAATCAAGAAATTCCAAAGTCCAGTAACTGAAGATTCAAAAACTGAATAATCCCAAAACTGAAATTTCGTAAAGTAAAAAATTGGAGAATCGAAAAATTGGAACATTTCGAAACTGAAACATGGAAATTGAAAAATTGAAAAACTGACAAATCGAGAAATCGTAACAAAAAAAATCAGGAAATCGGGAACTTGGAAATCGAAAAATCGAAAAAAGTTAAAAAATCGAATAATCGAGAAATCGAATGGTTGGAAAATGAAATACGAAAGTCAAAAAATTGAAAACTCGAAAATTTAGAAACCCGCCAAAAATAATTGCAAAATCTATTGAAGAAAGATACTGAAGACACGAAAAATTGAAAAATCTCAGAACAGAATACCGAAAAATTGAAATTAAGAATTTGAAAAATCGAAAAATTGAAAAATTGAAAAATTGAAAAATTGAAAAATGAAGAAACTGAAAATTAACAAATCCAAACGCTGAAATATCGAAAAATTGAAAAACCGATCGAAAATAGAAAAATTGAATAATCTAAAAATTTCGAAAATTTAGAAACGCAAAAAACTGAATAATCGAAAAAACTAAAAAACCGAAAATGAAAAAATAGAAAATTTGGGGAATCGAAAAACTGAAGACTTGAAATGGAAAATTGGGAATTTGAAAAGTTAAAAAATTGAGAAGACAAAAATTTGGGTAATACTAAAATATCGAAGAATCAAAAAACTGAAAATCCCAAAACTAAATTTTCGAAAAATTGAGAATCGAAGAAAAATTGAAGACGTCATAGAAATGTGCGTGATAATTTCGATGATTTTGAATTTTGATGGTAGATGGGAGCTTTGACAATAGATGGTATTTTCGTGATTTTGAATTTTAGTGATTTGTAATTTGGTTGAGGTTTTGTAGTATTTTCGAACCATCGCTTATTGTTTGAACCAGATTTTAGGTCTAGCGCCTTCGTCCACTTGGCCAACCTGACTGTCCAATCTGTTTAGTGAAAATCGCGACAGACGGACAGACGGAAACGGGGGACCTAATTTGTCCTATCCTATTACAACAGTTTCTTGGCCTATGATCGGGAAATAATGTGGATTAAGTAAAATATACTTATAAAAACAAGAGTTTCGCGATTTGGCCATCGATGATGATAATATAGAAGTCAAAGTCTTTGTAAGTTCTATCAAAATATTCCCAGAAAACCATTCTTGGCAACTAAAGAATCAATGTTAGGCGACGTCTAGCATTGATAGCAAACTCTCCTCTGATTCGCTAATTCAAGGTCAACTTTCTTCGCTTGCTGGTACAACTCGCTGCGCTCGCTACGACCCAGTAAAATTCCTTTCATCGCTTTTTCTCCCCACTTAATCTAAATTTGCTTCAATACCCCCATGTTATTTCCGTTGCACTCCTTCCACCCCCCTCCTGCGTCCTTCTCCAACTGGGTCAAGTGACCACTGCACTCACTACTCCCCAAGGCCGCCCTTCTAATTAACCGCTCCGATGACCCCATAATGTCACGAGTGCATATCCTCACCCCTTGAGCGTCGGGACGTCTGGTGGAGCGGAGGCGCCGGCACGTCGTGGCGTCGTTCGTAACCTCGATGGTCGCGCACGTTGTTTGCTGTATACTTCTTTTCATTTTCATCTTGGACGGTCACGTCAACAGTATGCTGGTGCACTTGTGGTTTCTCACGTTTGCGGTCGTCGGGGTGCAGAGGGGTAAGTTTAGTGGGACTCCTCTGTTAGTATTTAGTTGGTGGAGTTGGGAGCTTTCTTTGGCCTGGTACGAGTCGGGGGCATATGGTGGAGAATTGCGCAGTGGTTTTATGATTTGTTGGGTCTCTGGGACCGCCGGATGGGCGGCGTGAGAGTGGGCGGCGGTGCGTTGAGAATCGGCGGTTGATAAAATTTAAATGCGCAGTTGAATAAAAGTGGGAAATTAAAACGATAAAGAAACGAAAATAGAAATGTTGTCGTTTCTTTGATATCTAAAGGGTCATTTTCTAAAAATATTTTAATATATGCAGGGTGTTCGTATTATTGCGCGTAATAACATGCAATTAATTGTTTTTTTATAGAGCACGAAATGGAAACTTTGAACTTTTGGAATAGTGTAATCTTAGTTTAAATGAAGTGATGACGTTTTGTGCATATCTTGCAGGCTAAGTCGACTTGGAATTAAATATACAGGGTGTTTAATACAACGTGTTACTTTTTGAAGTTCTCTTTTTATTGGAAATTTTGTGGTTTCGAGACACTAAATATTTTAAAAATTGCAGGTGTCAGTGGTTTGACAATAATCAAATTCATTAGTTCAAAAACTGATTTTAATTAAAAAAGAAATGACAGTGCCTCAGATGAAAGTAGAATTTAACTCATATTGGACGAAGTTCTGTTCTAGTATGGAAAGAGGACAGTTTGGTAAATATTTACCCGGGAGTTGCACATTGTAGATTCACCCTGTATATGTTATAATAATATGTTGTTTTGCGACATTAATATTAGGGGTTATCTTAGGGTCATATTTTAAATTAGTGTAAGTACGTTTGCTCTAGAAACATAATTTCGTCCTTCATTTTTTGTGTTCTGTTGCGTTTATGTAGGTTAGTAAATAAGTAAATTTTCCAGAATGATTACATCTGCAGATAATTCAGGAAATTAAGTTCAAATAATGTGAGTATGTAAAATAATAAAAAAAAAAATGCTTAAAAAGTCAGAAATAGTGCTAATTAAATAAAAAAATATAAATTTTCTCGGTTCATGTTTTGTTCAGTGACTAGTATTTTAAAACTCATTTCGGAACTTTTATTACAAGAACACTGAAAAACTATATTTTGTACTGAATAGAACATTTAAAAAAAAAGCAAAATTGTGTAAAAATTTTTCGAATTTCCGATTTTTTGCCTTTTCGATTTGTTGATTTTTTTCTGGTATTTTTTAGCGTTTTGTTTCTTCAATTTTTCGGTGTTTCAATTTTTAAATTTCTCGATCTGCTGTTTTTTCTCAATTTACTGATATTTCAGTTTTGAGCTTTTTTAATTTTTTTAAATTTTTCAATGTTTGGATTTTTCGACTTTAGAATTGGTGACTTTTCAATTTTCCAATTTTTTTTAATATCTTTTTTGATGTTTCAAATTTTTAATTTCTAGATTTTTCGATTTCTAAATTTCTTAATTCTTCAATGTTTCACTCTTGATTTATCGATTTATCGGTTTTTCGATATCCCAGTTTTGGAATTTTTTAATATCTCGATTTTATAAATTTTAGATTTTATTTTTCAGTCTTTCAATTCTTCGATTTTAAATTTTGTAGTTTTAAATTTTTTGGTGTTTCGATTTCTCGATCTTTCGAAATTTCGACTTGTTTGTGATAGATTTTTTATTTTTAGATTCTTGAATTTTCGATTTATCAAGATTTCGATGTTCAATTTTTTTAATTGTTTAATTTCCCGATTTTTAGATTTTTCAATTTTTTAATTTTTCGAGAATTTAATTTTGGAATTTTTCAATTTCTCGATTTCTTGTATTTTTGATTTTTTAGTTTTTCGATTTTTCAATATTTCGATTTTGCGCGTTTTAGAAATTTTTTGACTTTTTGATTTTCCAAGTTTTCGAAGTTCGAATTTTCGATTGTTCAATTTCCCGATTTTTAGATTTTTCAATTTGATTTTTCGATTTTATCGACAGTTTTTCAACTTTTAATTTTTCCATTTTGGTTATTTCAATTTCTTCATTTTTTGATTCTTGGATTTCTCCATTTTTCGATCTTTCCACGTTTCGATTTCTCGATATCTCGACTTTTTAAATTTCCGAATTTTTATTTTTTTAATTTTTGGATTTTTGGATGTTCCAATTTTGCAATTTTTTTGATTTCTTAGGTTTTTGATTTTTAATTTTTTTTTCGATTTTTCGATTTCTCAGTTTCTCAATTATTCAGAGTTTCAGTTTTGATTTACCAATTTATCAGTTTTTCGATATTTCAGTTTCGTTTTTTTTTTAATATTTTGATTTTTAAAATTTTACATTTTAATTTTTCGATTCCTCGATTTTTCAAACTTTCGATTCTTCAATTGTTCGATATTTTAATTTTTCTAATTTCTATAAACTGAAAGTTTTCTGTTTCCCGATTTTTCTGATCTTCGATTTTTCTGTTTCTCAACTTTTTCAATTATTAAATTTTAGATTTTTCAATTTTTTGATCTTACGATTCCTCGATTTTTCGATTTTTCGATGTTTCGATTTTTCAATTTTTTCTGTTTTGCGAGTTTTAAAAAATTTTTCGATTTTTCAAGTTTTCGAATTTTTCAATTTTTCAATTTTTGGATTGGTCAATTATTCGATTTTTTTTAAATTCTACTTTTTCAGATTTTTTGATGTTTCGATTGGCTCTATCTTTTGATTTTTCGAATTTTCGGATTTCGATTTCTCAATTTCTCAATTCTTCAATGTTCCAATTTCGATTTTTTGATATTTAAGATTTGGGATTTTTTAATATTTGGATTTTTTAAATTTTAGATTTTTTTCGATTTTTTGATATTTTTGATGTTTCGATTGTTTGATTTTTCAATGTTTTGATTCTTCAATTTTTTGATTTTCTAAAAATTTGGAGTTTTCTATTTCCCGCTTTTTCTGTTCTTCGATTTCTCTGTTTGTCAACTTTTCCAATTTTTAAATTTTAGATTTTTCAATTTTTTGCTGTTTCGATTTCTCGATCTTTCGATTTTTTGATTTTTGAGTTCTTGATTTTTCAATTTTTTCGGTTTTTCGATATACATATCAAGATTTCGATGTTCCATTTTTCGATTGTTGAATTTCTCGATTTTTAGATTTTCGAATTTTGAATTTTTCGATTAAGAATTTTTTTAAATCCTAAATTTTTCAATTTTTCAACTTTTAATCTATCCATTTTGGCTACTTCAATTGCCCGATTTTTCGATTCTACGACTTCTTGATTATTTGATCTTTCTATATTTCGATTTTTTGATTTATCGATGTTTCGACTTGTTGATTATACTTTTTTGATTTTCAAATTCTTGATTTTTTATTTTTTTTGATTCTTCGATTTTTCAACATTTCGATGTTGGGTTTTTCGATTATTCAATTTTTCAATTCTTAATTTTTACATTTTTCGAATTCTAGATTTTTCGATCTTCCTCGATGTTTCAATTTTTCGACTTTAAGGTTTTTCGATTTCTGGATTTTCCAATTTTTCAATTTTTCGAGAATTCCGTTTGAGGATTTTTCAATTTGTCGATCTTTCATATTGTTGATTTTTTAGTTTTTCGCTTTTCAAATTTTCGATTTTTTAAATTTAACATTTTTCGATTTTTCAATTTTTCGATTTCCCGTTTTTTTGGCTTCTCGATTTTTCTATCTTGTTAACTTTCGATTTATCAATTTTTCGATATTTCGCTTTTGGGATTTTTCAGTTTTTTAATTCTTCAATTTTTCGGTTTTTCAAATTTTCAATTTCTAGATTTTCAGTTTTTGGATTTCTTAATTTTCCGATATTTCAATTTGCGATTTTTTAATTCTACGATTTTTTTATTGTTCTATTTTTCGACTTTTAAATTTTTAAATTTTTAATTTTTCCATTTTGGACTAATAAATATTTCAATTTCTGGATTTTTCGATTCTTCGACTTTTAGATTTTTCGATCTTACTCGATGTTTTTAACCCTTTTCGAATTCTGGATTTTCGAATTTTTCAATTTTTCGATTTTCCATTTTTTCGAGAATTCAGTCTGGGGATTTTTGAGTTTCTCGATCTTTTATATTTTTGATTTTTCAATTTTTGATTTCTTAAATTTTACATTTTTAGATTTTTCAATTTCTCGATTTCCCTATTTTTTGGCTTCTCGATTTTTTAATCTTGTTAACTTTCGATTTGTCAATTTTTAGATATTTCAGTTTTAAGATTTTTTAGTTTTTTGTATCTTCAATTTTTCGGCTTTTCAAATTTTCAATTTTTCGATTTTAAAATTTTTCCAATTTTAAATTTTCCAGTGTTTGGACTTTTCGATTTATCGATTTTTTGGTTTTCCACTTTTCGATTTTTTTGATTTTTCAAATTTTGAATTTTTCGGTTTTTCGATTTCTCACTTTGTCAATTCTTCATTGTTCCAGTTTTGATTTTTCGGTTTATCGATTTATCCATTTTTCGATATTTCAGTTTTGGGATTTTTTAATATTCGGATTTTTTAAATTTTAGAATTTTTTTAATTTTTCGATTTTTCAAGGTTTTGATGATTCGATTTTTCTCGATCTTAGATTTTTCGACTCGTAGTTATAGATTTTTTTATTTTTATAATTTTTGATTTTTAATTTTTTCGAGATTTCGATGTTCGATTTTTCGATTGTTGATTTTCTAATTTTTAGATTTTTCAGTTTTTGATTTTTCGATTAATAAATTTTTTATATTCTAAAATTTTGAATTTTCCAATTTTTTATATTTGCATATTTCTTCGACTTCTCGATTTTTCCATCTTCTCATGTTTTGCGTTTTTGATTTTTTCATATTTCGATTTCTCCATGTTTCAATTTTTCAACTTTATAGCTTTCCGATTTTTCGAAGTTTTGAATTTCCTGTATTATATCTATTTTCCAACTTGTCTTTTTGATTTTTCAGTTTTTCGGTTTTTCAATTTTTCAATTTGCAATTTTTAATAATTTTCGATTTCGATTTTTCGATTTCTTGATATTTCAAGTTTTCGTTTTTCGAATTTTTCAATCTCCGGATTTTTAAAATTTTACATTTTTCGATTTTTTACTTTCGATTGCTCGATTTTTAGATTTTTCAATTTCTCGATTTCCCGATTTTTTGGCTTCTCGATTTTTTAATCTTGTTAACTCTCCATTTGTCAATTTTTAGATATTTCAGTTTTAAGATTTTTTAGTTTTTTGTATCTTCAATTTTTTGGCTTTTCAAATTTTCAATTTTTCGATTTTCAGTCTTTCGATTTATTAATTTTTGGATATTTCAATTTTACAATTTTTTGATTGTTCTATTTTTCGATTTTTAAATTTTTCCAATTTTAAATTTTTCAGTTTTTTTTGGACTTTTCGATTTATCGATTTTTTGGTTTTCCACTTTTCGATTTTTTTGATTTTTCAAATTTTGAATTTTTTGGTTTTTCGATTTCTCAATTTGTCAATTCTTCATTGTTCCAGTTTTGATTTTTCGGTTTATCGATTTATCCGTTTTTCGATATTTCAGTTTTGGGATTTTTTAATATTCGGATTTTTTAAATTTTAGAATTTTTTTAATTTTTCGATTCTTCAAGGTTTTGATGTTTCGATTTTTCTCGATCTTCGATTTTTCGACTCGTTGTAGTTGTAGATTTTTTTATTTTTATAATTTTTGATTTTTCAGTTTTTCGAGATTTCAACGTTCGATTTTTCGATTGTTGAATTTTCTAATTTTTAGATTTTTCAGTTTTTGATTTTTCGATTAATAAATTTTTTATATTCTAAAATTTTCAATTTTTCAATTTTTTATATTTGCATATTTCTTCGACTTCTCGATTTTTCCTTCTTCTCATGTTTTGCGTTTTTGATTTTTTCATATTTCGATTTCTCCATGTTTCAATTTTTCGACTTTACAGCTTTCCGATTTTTCGAAGTTTTGATTTTCCTGTATTATATCTATTTTCCAACTTGTCTTTTTGATTTTTCAGTTTTTCGGTTTTTCAATTTTTCAATTTTTCAATTTTGCAATTTTTAAAAATTTTCGATTTCGATTTTTCGATTTCTTGATTTTTCAAGTTTTCGTTTTTCGAATTTTTCAATCTCCGGATTTTTAAAATTTTACATTTTTCGAATTTTTTACTTTCGATTGCTCAATTTTTGGATTTTTCGACTTTGCGGATTCCGTTTTTGGTTTTTCAATTTTCAAAATTTTAATTTTTCAATTTTTCAGTTTTTAGATTTTTCAGTTTTTAAAAAGTTTCGATTTTTTGGAAAGCATTTTTGGTTGTCTGCTCATCGTTTCCATAAGTTAAATTTATTTCAAAATTTATTTCTAAATTGTCAGTCTCGAGAATTTGATACACATATACAGGGTGAGTCACTAAGTGCTCATTAATTAATTATGTTTTTAGAAAGCCAAAGATGAAACTTTGAGGACTATACTCTAAAATTATTTTTAACTATACGGAGTTATACTGTTTGCAAGGCTATTTTCACATATTCTCATTAGCCTTTTTGTAGGCTTTATAGAGTTTATTTTTGAAATTCCAATGCGATGTTGCCACGTTATTCCAGTTTTCTTAAAATTTTTGGTATTGGCAGGGAACACAAAAAAATCGCACTATTATTTTTAGATTCTGTATACCAATATTTTATGGAAGGATAAATAAAGGTACGCGCTTTGTAGTGGTATTAATTAAATCAAATTTTAAAATACAGAGTGTTCGAAATTTGAATTCGAATAAGAAAAAAATCAAGTTGTACGTTACATCTTAAAAATGAAAAATTCATTTAGGGATATAATTTATAACTAATTTCAGATATACAAGACGTTCCATTTAGAGAGTATACACGAAAATGGTATTTCATTCTATATCTATATTTCTTTTTAAAAGATTTTTACAATGAGAATAATTCTAAAAAACTATTAGGATAAACTTCAAGAAGTCTTATATCAAAATTTACTTAGTGATAAGCTCGAAAACGTTATTAAATACGGGGCATCCCATTTGTGAAATTTGAGGAAACAAGCAGTTTAGAAATTTAATTACCTTTTGTGCAAATCAATAAAACAATTCTTCCATTTTTATAAATACGTTTTTCAAGATAAGATAATTTTTTTCTTTTTTTAATATGTAAGTGTGTAAAATTAAAAACAATGTAACTTTCAAATGGAACATCTGTAATATGAAAATAATTTTAATTTCTAACCCTAAATGGGAATTATACGAAATGATTGTTTTCCAAAATTTCGTGGCCTCTAATTTCCACGTAGTATGAAATCGCAATGTCAGGACTTAAGCAAGCGGAAACTCACATGACGCTTACTTTTATCTCAGCACGAAATTGATTTTTATCTGTGATTTTTGATTAAAAATATTATTGAATTGTCGCTTTATCTTTGCGTTTGTTACAAAATCCTAATAAAATACGACTTTCGCAGAATTTCTTTATGCCATCTAACAGGAAAATGCATTACTTAGTCACGTATTAGCTTCCACTTTTATTAAGATAGTTTTCCGTTTTTCCTCAGGCTTTTCTCTCAAATGCTACAGCTGCCTCTCCAGCGAACCCCGCGATGCTTGCATCAAGCTGGACAAGAGCAAAATTCCCCTAAAATCTTGCGACATCACCGAATTGGCGCAAACAGAGCGCTATGCCAAGCAAATCCAAGAAGACATGGGAAGACTATACGAAGTCCACGCAGCCCAGGAGCCCCTCTTTCCTCTAAACTGCTTAAAACAAGAAATTCTGCGTGAGTATCAAAGAACTCGTTCTTTGTAGAATTATGTGGATATTTCTGCTGCTTTATGGTGTCACATAATGGAAAATATTTGTTGTAATTTTAATCATGCGGAGCAACTCGAGTAGAGATAAAGGTGATTGACGAACATTGACCTTGATTATAGAACATTTTGTTATTTGATTGATTAAAGTTGTTTAAGCTTCCACACTGGCGATAAATTATTTATTTGCCAAAACAGAAGTTTCTGCTTTAGATCGGTAGTTGGTATTGGCTTTATTTTATTGTATTGGGTACTTTTAATACGACGAATTACTGAAGTAAGCCTAGTTGGCACACTCGGTATCTTATCTTGTTTAACTGTGCTTTCAATTAACGTTAATTTATCAGTTAATTAGTTATTATGTTTTTGTGGTTGGGAAACTGAGTGATTTTTTGAATTGCAAAATTGATAGGTTGTTTTCTACTACAAATCGTTTATTACCTTTTCTTGGAAATCGGGCTATCTGAAATCATCTGACGATCTGTAATGACGTCAAGTCTGTGTGATAAGAAGGGCTACACCTGTACTTTACAACACTCTTGAGTTTATCTCTAACTAAGGCGCGTTGTCTATAACAACAACACAAGCTACCTCTCAACACTCTCAACATCAGTTGTTCCATTTTTTTTTCGGTTTGTCTGTTTCGCTAATTCACATAGATTGACCGAGATTATGATCAGCCTTTACATAAATAGACTCAATTTTTCACAGCAGTGGTATTTGTATTATCCACCAGATTTTCCAAATTTTGCTTAGTAATTAGTTCAGTTCATTCCTGGAGTGTGTGCTATTAAACAGACTCTGCTGCTGCAATAAAATGATAAGATAATTGTGATATATTTATAGATTTCATAGTCGACTGAATTACATTTTGAAATAAGTGACACTCATTTTATTATTATTGTTAATTTTCACAATTCTATCTTTACAGGTGTGTTTGAATTTTTTCAACAAGTGAATAACATTTTGACAAATAGTTTTCAAGTATCTCGGTCACTTGGTTGAATTTTTTGTTCGTTTTGCTTTTTCTTTAGTCCTCATCATTTCTTCTCTTACCGAAAGTGTCAAAAGAAAGAACTTTTCTCGAACATTGACGAATATTGTTTCTTTTTTTTGAAGTCAGATTTTTTACTTTTCCGGTGTTTTAAAATACTGAAATGTTGTTTGTACTTATTTGAAACTACCTCATAAATCAGGCACAATGGGTCTTCGATGGTGTCAAAGTACTTCAAAAACCAGATGCAAGAAGTCCTCGAGATTCTTTCTATTTTTTTTTTTTAATAAAACACAGTGGTCCCCGAGATTCAAATTACTTTAAAAACAAAAGATCACAAAATTCTTCAAACTACCTCAAAAATAAAACAAAAAGGGTGGCCGAGATTTTTCATAAAGCGGACACAAGGAATCTCAAGATTTCTTCAAACCACTTCAAAAACTGGACAGAAGTGGCCTTTGAGATTTTTTTTTTCACAACAGGTCTCCGAGATTCTTTTAAACTACTTCAGAAACAAAATAAAAGGTATCCTAAACTACTTCAAAAACCAAACTCAAGAAATTCTCGAGTTTCTTTTAAACTACTTCAAAAATCAGACATAGAGGACTCCTGAGATTTATCTAAGCTACTTCAAAAACAAACAACCTCAAGATTTTTCAAACTACTTGAAAAATCAGGCACATGGAATCCCTTCAAACTATTTTTAATTATAGACACAGGCGGTTCTCGAAATTCTGTCACACTGCTCCAAAAACAAACAAAAGGGTTCCCCGAGATTTTTCCAGACTACTTCAAAAACCAGACACAAGTGGTTCCCGAGATTCTTTTAAACTACTTCAAAGAGCAGACTCAAGAGATGCCCAAGATTCTTTCAAACTACCTCAAAAACCAAGAACAAGTGGTGGCAGAGTTTTGTTTAAACTACTTAAAAAAACGCACACAAATGGTCCACGAGATTCTTTTAAAATACTTCAAGGGCAATACCCAGAAAGATTTTCGAGATTCTTTCAACGTACTGCAAAAACCAAACAAAAGTATAAACAAGTGGTTCTTGAGTTTCTTTCAAACCAGCAAACCACTCCAAAAACCAGACAGAAGAAGCCTCAAACTATTTTTAAAGGCAGATACTGGCGGTTCTCGAGTTACTTTCCGATGATTTCAAAAACAAAAGTAGAGGGTTTTCCGTGATTCTTTCAGCCTACTTCAAAAACCAACCACAAGTGGTTCTTTCAAATTGCTTCAAGGGTAATACGCAGAAAGATCCCTAAGATTCTTTCCAGCTACTTTAAAAACCAAAAAAAAGAGTCCCCGAGATTCTTTCACACTACTTCAAAAATCAGACACATGAGGTCCCTGAGATTTTTTCAAACTACTTCAAAGGCCAGACACAAGTGGTCTTTGAGATTCTTTCGAATTGCTTCAAGAGCAATACCTCGAAAGAGCCCCGAGATTCTTTCAAGCAACTTCAAAATGCAGGCACGTGGGTTTCCCAAAAGGTCTTCAAACTACTTCTAAAACTAGACACAAGGGGTCCTCAAAATTTTTTCAGATTACTTTAAAAATAAAACAGAAGAGATCGTCGAAAGTCTGTAAGGTCCAAAAACCAGGCACAAATAGTCTCCGAGAATTTTTCAAAATACTTCAAAACCCAACAATAAGTGGTGCCTGAGTTGTTTTCAAACTAGCCAAAAAACAAACACAAATGGTCTTCGAGAATCTTTGAAATTGTTTGAAGAGTAATACCTAGAAAAATCCCCCAGATTCTTTCAAGCTACTTCAAAAATCAAATAAAAGGAATCCCCAAGATTCCTTCAAACTACTTCTAAAACTAGACACAAGTGGTTCCCGAGATTCTTTCAGACTACTTTAAAACAAAACAAAAGAGATTCTCGAGATTCTTTAAGACTGCTTCAAAAAACAGGCACAATTTTTCTCCGAGATTCTTTCAAACTATACTTCAAAAAAACAGAGAATATTAGTGTCCTAGATTTTTTTCAAACTGCCTTAAAAATCAATCACAAGTAGTCCCTGAGATTCTTTCAAACTACTTGAAATAGCAGGCACAAGGGGGTCCCCGAGATTCTTTCAAACTACCTCAAAAACCAGACACAAGGATTCTCCGAGATTCTTTCAAGCTGTCTTAAAATCAAAACAAAAATGGTCCTCGAGAGCCTTTCAAACTATTTTAAAAACCAGATACAAGAGGTTCCTGACATGCTCTCAAACTACAATCAAAAACTAGAGACAAGTGGTCTCCGACATTCATTCAGTTTGCTTCAAGAAAGAGCCCCGAGATTATTTCAAACTATTTCAAAAATCACTCACAAGTGGTGCCTGAGTTGTTTTCAAACTACTCAAAAAACGAACACAAATGATCTTCGAGACTCTTTGAAATTGTTTGAAGAGTAATACCTAGAAAGATCCTAGAGATTCTTTCAAGCTGCTTCAAAAACCTAGCAAAAGGAAAATTAAGACTCCTTCAAACTACTTCTAAAACTAGACACAAGTGGTTTCCGAGATTTTTTCAGACTACTTTAAAAACAAAACAGAAGATATCCTCGAAACTCTTTAAGACGGCTTCAAAAACCAGGCACAATTGGTCTCCGAGATTCTTTCAAACTTCTTCAAAAATCGACCCAAAAAGATCCCCAAAATTCTTACTAGCTACTTCAAAAATCAAACAAAAGGAGTCCCCGAGATTCTTTCAAACTTTTAAAAAAATCAGGCACAAAGGGGTCCCCGAGAGTCTTTCAAACTACTTCAAAAACCAGACACAAGAGGTCCCAGAGATTCTTTCAAGCTACTTTAAAAACCAAGCAAAAAGAAAATTAAGACTCCATGAAACTACTTCTAAAAATAGACACAAGTGCTTTCCGAGATTCTTTCAAACTACTTTAAAAACAAAACAGAAGATATCCTCGAGATTCTTTAAGACTGCTTCTAAAACCAGGCACCATTGGTCTCCGAGATTCTTTCAAACTACTTCAAAAATCGACCCAAAAAGATCCCCAAAATACTTGCAAGCTACTTCAAAAATCAAACAAAAGGAGTCCCCGAAATTCTTTCAAACTTTTTAAAAAACCAGGCACAAAGAAGTCCCTGAGATTCCTTTAAACTACTTGAAAACCTAGACACAAATGGTCTCCGAGATTCTTTCAAACTACTTCAAAAATCAGACACATGTGCTCTCTGAGATTCTTTCAAATTACTTCAAAAATCAGAGACAATGGTCCCCGACGTTCATTCAGATTGCTTCAGGAATAAAACACAGAAAGATCTCCGAGATTGTTTCAAACTACTTCAAAAATCAGACACAAGTATTCCTTGAGATTATTTCAAATTACTTCAAAAAGTAGACACAAGGATTCTATGAGATTCTTTCAAATTACTTCAAAAACCATATACAAAGGGTCCTCAAAATTATTTCAAACTAATTCAAAAGCCAGACACAAGTGGTCCTAGAAAATTTTTTCAAATTGCTTTATGAGCAATACCCAGAAAGTTCCCCGAGATTCTTTCAAGCTACTTCAGAAACCAAACAAAAAGAATCCCCGGGATTCTTTGAAACTATTTCAAAACGCAGTTACGTGGGCTCCCCAAGACCCTTTCAAATTACTTCTAAAACTAGACACAACAGGTCTCCGAGATTGTTTCAAACTACTTTAAAAACTAGAGACAAGGAGTCCTCGAGAATTTTTAAAACTACTTCAAAAACTAGACACAAGAATTCTACGAGATTTTTTCAAGGTACTTCAAAATCAAAAGAAAAGGGGTCTCCGAGAGTCTTTCAAACTACTTCAAAAACCGGACACAAGAGGTCCCAGAGATTCTTTCAAGCTACTTTAAAAACCAAGCAAAAGGAAAATTAAGACTCTTTCAAACTACTTCTAAAACTAGACACAAGTAATTTCCAAGAATCTTTCAGACTACTTTAAAAACCAAACAGAAGATATCCTAGAGATTCTTTAAGACCGC